CATCTATGCTATTTGGTGGCATACAACAGTCTAATCTGTAAAACCAAGTGAATACAAATGAGGTAAATAGGTGGAGTTGGAAAACCTCCTCTTGCGAAATCATGAGAGAAATGTGTAAAACTATGTACTAATAAATTCAGTTCATATTGAAAATGTACTGAAATATTGTAACAGTAAACAAAATGCAATTCCTCATTAATTCTGTACAGTTTTTTCCATACAAAAAAATTAAAAAATAAATCGAAGACATAATGTACAATGTAAATCATTAATATATTAGTACATTGCGAGATGTTTTCTGTGAAAAGTTGAATTAAAATCATTCAATACATTTTCATGAAGACCGAGTTATCTTATGTGGTTTTGTATGTGGATTGCTCCCTCTAGTGGTCAGTCCAACGAGATGATTTGGAAAATGTAGTTTCTTTGTCTGATTTTCTTTGCATATTTCCAATAAAGGATCAATAAGTACAGCCATGCAGCTGTAGGGGCTGTTGGCAGGATACACCCCGGTCAAATGCCACGTACTAGTGTAAGAGTAACATCTAGAGACAGGTACGTCATACAATCACTGAAAGGAGAGACCTCTCACTTCCCTTGTTTAATCATTTTCTTGTGATACAGTTAGTATTTGTTGTATTTTCTCCTTCTTCTTGTGCGCTGGATGTTGCAGAGGTAAGTGTGCATTTCATGGGCTGACGAACCTGAGATTGAGCCTAAATCACCATTCTCAGGTTGGACAGTCCTGGAAGAGCCACTCGTCAACAAGGCCCCAAAGCTCCACTCCAGGCCGAGGCTGCACTCTCCATTTGTGCTCCACAAGCACACGGACAAAACCTAGAATAACATCATCTGCAAACAGGCCACGCTCATGTGCTTTTCTAACATGGACGGCGGCAATCCTGTTTAAAACTAAGCTGGAAGGACACTCTCGAATTTGCAGTTTAAGATACAAAGACAAATATTTTGGACTAGTCCATGATTATGTCAATCAATCAATCAATCAAACTTTATTTATACAGCACTTTTCATACAAAAATGCAACAGAAAGTGTTTGTCTATCTGTTAATGTAATACTTTCACCTATTCGCATGACGCTAAAACTTTGGCAAAACTTCAAAAAATATTTTATCCAAAGAGTATCCTAATATTAAATCTCAGAATCAAATAATCAGGTTAACATACATTTTTGTTTAGAGATTGCAAAACAGGTCTCTTACATACACATTTATTGACTGTAAGCCCCAGTGCCAGTAATTATACTGATATAAAACTTCCTTAACATCACAAGTGATTCTGCAAGAGTAAGACAGGTGGAAAAATCATTGTCTGGATGAAAAGCCAATGGCATCTGTAGTAAAAGACATAAATGTACACACATTTGGTCCACAGTAAATTCGGCGGCAAACGCAGAAACAGGTCTAAGTCGTCTGGGACCAAGTCAAGATCAAGGGAAAAAAAGATGATTTTGAGTTAGAATTCCAGTTTAGACACTGTGAAGAAAAGACAAAGATTATGTAATTTTATTATGTTAAATATATCAAAAATAAATACCACGACCAGACAAGACCAGTCTTGCACAATGAATAAGTATTGATAAGTAACTAAGGTAACAATAATTTTATAACATTAAATTACAGATATATTAGACTATTTATAAACTGTTTTATATACACATTTGTAAATATTAAATTGAGAAAAAATGCTTTGTAAATAATTTGCTACAATGAGTTTATTTAAAGTAACACGGCACTGCACGTCAGCTGCATGATTCCATGGACATAGGTTAAAACTGCACTTTGGAACATTCGCCATGGAGATAATATCTTTAATAATTATATATGTCATGTCATATTGTGGAATATGAAATCAACATTCCCATGAAGACAAGAAGGTAAAGGCCTCATCCACTCCAAGTTATAGTCAGGTTTGTGAAGTCTGCTCACAGTGAGGTCTCATGTTTTTCACTGCTATGAAAACATCCAAATACAAAAACAGTTTTTTGGGGAAAAGTTATGTGGTACGGCTTTAATACTTTCAGTTTAGTGTTATTTATTTGAAGTGGTGGAAGAAGTATTGGATTTTTGGAGCAACAAAAATAAGTAAAAGTAAAAGTATCACATGAAAAAAAAATCATCTTAAATAAAAATATTATAGTACATGTTTTAAAATGTACTTAAAGAGTAAAAACTATTTCATGCTAATTTTAAGAGCTAATAAAACTTCAAATGTAGTGACACATTATTAGATCCCACCAGCCTTTTCAGCCGGTCCCTATCTTAAAAAAAACACTTTTACTTTTCAGCCCAGTTCAAATATGTAGTGGAGTAGACAGTACAGATACCTGTCCTCAAATGCAGTGAAGTAAAAGTAAAAAAAGTATCCATGTTAAGTAACGTACAGATACCTAACTTTTATACTAAAGTACAGTTTACTACATTCCAGTACGCTGCTAGATGTTGTATATGATAAAATTTGTCAAGTCGTACTTTTTGGATGACACACTATGTGTTTGGATCTATATGTTGTGAGCTAATGTGCAGTATAGCAAATAAACTGAGACACAATTAGATGTTCCATTTCAGGTCTAATGTGCACAGCATCTCTCCTGAAACATGGAGGATTTATGGACCTTCTCCCTCTGTGCTAAATCTGATGATAAACTGCACAGAGTAAAAGCTATAAAACATGAACACTATAAAAGCTTCACAACCTCTTCACAAGAAATACTGAATTATTTAACTGCATTAGCCTGGCATCGGCCCGACCCATACAGGCCATCTACTCCGATGTACTTGAACTTTATTGCAGTTAATTCTGAAGTAAAAGAGTCATTTGTCACATAAACGTCAGATTTAAGTAAAATTATTTTTGCTTGACCCCTGCAGAAAGAGGATATGGGGGTGAAAGGTTTGGTTTGAAAAGTTATAATTATAGCAATAGCTTCAGCAGAGGTAGTAGCTGTGGTTTTATACTTTCAGCAAACGTAGCCTCGTATATATGAATGAAGATACTTTTTGCTTTACTTTTTAAGCTTAGACTTTTATACCACAATGTGAAAAATTGAGAAAGTGCATAGTTAAATTCAGACAGTGTTGGGAAGTAACTGAATACATGTAGGAAGAATATGTCTTAACAATACTATACTACAATTCTACTACTACTTCTACTACTACACAATACTATTCAGGTTTGGTGGTATTCAGAATACAGTTACTTTACTAAAAATCAAATACATCGCGGTACTTGATTACACAATTTAGGCTTCAAACTGCACAATAATAATAAGAGAGACAGAAAACACTGCTCTTATAAAATGTATTTGTGTAATTTTTCCTTCTCTAATTAGTGATTAGAAATACTTAACAAGCGGTGAAACAAATATAAAGCTGTTTTTAATCATACACTATAATGTAAATGTAAAGTATTCATAATGCATACTTGAATGAATGAATACAATACTATGGTTTGATTGGAGATGTAGAATACGTTATGATAGATTTTAATTTCAGTATTCTGTAACTAAATACATTTTCAAAGTATTCTTCCAATCCCTGAAGTCAGACATGAGGTTTGGTGAAGGCTGCCGAATTGACATATTTCCTTTAAAATGTAACTAAATAAATATAGTAGCCACTTATAAAAACATAACATTTAATCAGTACTAAGAATACATTTTATAGAGTCTTACCGTGTGTGAAAATGCCCTGGTGTCTCTCCACATTCAAACAGTGGTATGTATCTGTGTGGATCCTGCCTGTTTTTATGTCACTGCTCAAAATGACACTTCAACACACAGTTTGCCCTCCTGGTTTCAATACTCGAAGGCAGCTTCATCACGCACGGTGCTACCAATAGGGATGCACACACTGTCACTGCCTTCCTGTTTGTGAATGCTCGGGGTAAACTTTCCACTGACAGCTCTCTTCTACAGGACCACTGAGACTATTTTAACTCAATGGTGTTACACTCAACACTTTTAACTGTATCAAATGAAGAGCTCAAAAGCAAAAACAGATATCTCCTTTTTGAAAATTTCCCAAAAGGATTTGCTCTTTTAGAGATATTAGCAATGACAATGTATAATGGATTTATCAAGAGGGGTGGATTCTAATTATAGCAGTATATTTATTGCTTTTTCTACCAATAATCCCACTGTTTTTTATTGAACAGTTTAAAAGCCCTTCTGAGGACCGGTGTTGCGAATGAGCCAAGGCTGTAAACACTGTGATGCCTGCATCAGATTACTCAATTGTTACACTATGTTTGTTGACTTTTGAAAGTATTACTATACTAAGAGTAAACTACAAATCTCCGATGACTTTTTCAAATGGCACTTATCTGTTTTTGCATGAACTTTATAAATATGAAACAGTAAAGAATGTAATAAAGAATGCAGAAGTTATTTTAATGATTTGTTAACATACTGAAATCTTATTCGGCTTATAATACTGATCTGGAAATGGTAGCAGGAGTAGTTACAAGTTTGTTTTTTATTGAAAATGTGATAGACGTGATATAAATGACACTGAATTAGGGCAGTTAACAGTTATTTTAGTAGTCAGTCAGCTATAATTTCTATCATTAGTTGACAAGTTGAATGAATATTTCTATTATACGTAGATATTTTTAAAACAAAATAAAGGTAAAATGCTGACTGAAATCTATTTACATATAAAGTAATAGTAGTAGTATTGTATAAGAAGTATACATAAGACTGCCGACTGAATTAATTCTTTTTGTCCCAGTTTGATTTACTAATGTTGCTGCCGTCTTTGTTATAAAACATCTTGTGTCATGTGTTTTAGAGTTTTATTTCTCACATTTACCATGCTTTTTTCTCCCATTGTCTTTACATGCCTATCATCATTAAATATGTGCCAATCAAACTTCACATTACAGTAAAAGCTATTACTCTGATAGTTATGAGTTCTGAAAGTGCACGACACTTATTCTGGATGAATAAAGGCTGTGTGAAGATTAAACATGGACAGACCGTGTTAAAACCAAATATTGCACTTTTATTTTCCTTTGTAAAATCCTATCTGTACATACAACAGCAGCAGTGAGCATTCAATCACAGTCAAAATATGAAAACGATGGCGTCAGGTTATAGAAACCCTTACTCGATCAACTTAAGTACACTTTTAGCTTTTTGTAGAGCATGCTGTTACACAAAGTTTGGTGGAAAAATATACTATGCTCAAACATTTTTTTGGTTACACAATCCTTTATACAGATTTTGAGCAATTCTTCTACCCCTGCCAAAAAGCAACAAGGACAGACTACAGTATAATACAATATTACAGTATATTACACATTTAATATAATCTGCATGAGAACAGAGGAATGCAACCACAACTAATTACAAAAACAGTTATGATGCAAACCTTTCGAGCAGACAGGTATTTTGATAAAACAATACTGTCACAGGTAGGCCGGTCATGAAAATACTGTATTGACTTATTGTTCAGTATATATGACAGGTGGAACAATCATTTTGGGGGTTAGTATTTATAGTGGTACTTTTTTGCTTTATTGTACTGTGAGGATGTTGTAGTTATTTTTCTGAATTACAGTGAAATTTGAGGTTTGAAAATGTAATTATATACTTCTATGACTATCGTTTGTCATCTATATTTTCTTCAGCCACATACCACATTTCAAAGTTACGTTATCATGACAGGCTTAGACCGAAGCTGAAGTTAGACTTATACACCACCATGTCAAAACCACAAGAAAATAAGTTTTTCAGTGTTTGTTAAATGTCACTGACCCATTTTCTCAGCAGCGAATGTGCCCGTGGACCGGTCATGTGCTCAGGTTTATCCATGGTGAAAATATGTAAATATTTCATTCGCTGCATAAATGTGAGTGCATACTTAAGCTGTATAATGAAACATAGCTACAGTCAGGTCAACATCCACAGAAGGAAGATTCAGCTAAAAAAGGCAAAAACACCCACGCATTTTCCGATTGATTGGTCCATGAGAAAATGCTTGTGGCAATAGAAGCAACAGCCATTTAGTGAAAGTTGAGACAGGTGCAATAATGTACAAAATAAACTTTTTTACTTCTGGTGCAATCACATTTACATTCAGTGTTGTCATAGCACATAGCTTAAGGCAAGGTAGGTCTTTAAAATAAACTGGCAAAGTAAAAATGATTGTCACGGTTTAAAAAGCATGTTTTATGCAACAACAGACTGTACATATAAATAATCAAATAAAATGTTTTTTCCACATCAACATACATCCGGTAAAATATATATTATCATTTCAGTTAACATTCAACATACATAAAATGGTCTCACAATCACAGCTGCAACCTCGTAAGGGCACGTTTTGTGTCTAAAAAAAGTCTTTCTGTAAAGTTCTAATGTATTTTGTCAAGTTTCGGTCAAAAAAGTTATTTGTTAATTTGTTCAGTAACTAGGCTCGTCCATCTCCTCATCGCTCCAGTCTGGGGGTGCATCTGTCCCGAAGTACCGGTCCCCAAAATTTCCTGTAAATGTTACAATATTTTCATGGTATAAGTGCTCATTAAAAATATGCATTGATTATAACTACAAATGCTACACTTATTACTACTTTTACTACTCAAACAAAGACCACAAATAGCTTGACAAATCAATACCTACTAGTAATTAAAATTGTTATTTAGGATTGTTCCATAGAGCTAATTACTGATGCCTTATTACATGTGAATAAGCTGGCTATCATAGATAGTTTTAGTTAGTAATAGTTGTAGTTAGTTATGTATATTTCATTTACATATAATTCAAGACATGTGTCGTGAGCACAGCACAACTTTTAAAAGTATATATGACAAGCCATATGACAAGTCAGAATTAATTACAAATGTGTTCCCATGCCGTGAGCAGTGCCTGTGAGACTGACCTATGCCCGGTATAATGTGGAACAGATCGTTGACTTTCTTGTCCACAGCGGTTGTGATGATCTTAACCTGTGGAAAAGCGTAGGCCACTGAGTGCACTCCCATCTCCGCCATCAGCAGAGACACCAGCAGGATCTTATCCTCCTGAACATCATGGTCCTAAAGAGGAACAAGAAGCATTAGGGACCATGAAAGAATACTGTTTATTTATAAGGGCATTTCCAATAGATTCAGTTATGTCATTCAGGATGCTCTGTATGCATCACAGAACTCATGACTCACAAAAAGATCATTATTAAAAAGTTCATTATTAAAATAAAACAGTACCATCTTATAAGTACTAGTTATTAATTTACCTTAAAAAGCAAGAACAAATACTTTTTTTTTATAATGATGATTAAAATGATTCAGGTTTAAGTACTTAATTAAGGGGTTATGGTTAGGGTATTATTTAAGTAGTTACTAAGCCAAACTCTTAATAAGCTATTGTTCATTATGAATGAGGTCTTTATGCATGCCTCATCAAGTCTATTAAAAGTGTAGTTATTATAAAGTGTTACTTATAAAACTAAATTGCTTCACAATAAACTATTCTAAACATAAAGTACTGTTAATGATAATAATATGTAATATCATGCAGAATGCACAATTGCATCTAAGTTAGAGATGTGAGTATTTTGTGTCCACATTTAAATGTCTACAACTTTAATGCATTGTTTATGTGCAGTGAACTCTGACCCACCAGCAGCACACGCACGGCCATCATGGCGGCGGCCCCGGTTGACACAGTGCAGTCCATCAGGATCACATGATCCTCACTGATGTCTTTGGGGAGGCGCAGGTAGTGAAGCTGCAACAGTTAAACTGAGGTTAACACAAAACAGGACAGGATGTGGCTTAGGCCCACAATAACACACTGGACCTGTAGTATAGTCTAAAAACAAGAACATTATGTGACTGAAATTCCTCAGGCAAATGAAAAACCTTTATGATCCATCATTTTATGCAAAGTTAACCATCAGAACATTTACCAACTTGTGATACATGAATACAATTTAAAATTTAGAGTTTATTCTGACTGATTTCAGTTATATAAAAATTGTATAGATTTTGTTTTTCAATATTCAAAATACAATGATTACAATCAGATATCTTTACACATCTTAATAGGTGTTCACTTCATGTAACCTAATGAGCCCTACCTCTGGCTCTCCTGTGTCCTGGTTGGTCTGGATGAGGATCTTGCCAATGCGTACATCTTTACAAACAGCCCTCAGAGCAGGCTCCATGGTCTCCCCAGCCCGCAGGATGGACACACCTGTGATCTGCAGCAAAACAAATTCAATGAAGGTGTGAAATTTGGAGGACAAAAATATCTTAAAAGTGTCAATAAGTGAATTGAGTTTACTCACCCTTTTCCCATTGAAGGAGCGGCCCTCATAATCCTCTCCCTGCGGAGTCTGGACTATGTGGACCTGAAGACCATATTTGGCATTTGGCATTATAATGCATTAGCTTCTATGACCTGACTAGGCACATCATTACTGTACAAGTTATGATCAATGAGTGTTTAGTAAGCTGTGTAAAGTGAGAGGTAAACTATCTCTCCAGAAGATTGCTTCATGTCTCAGATAATGCGGTTTGAACTTTCCATTGCTGTAGATTGAGAAGTTTCCACACCAACAATGCCAATACAATATGTGTACAGTAACAATGAGAAAATTTTAAAATCCTACAATCTATTTCAGTAAAATGCCATGGATTGATTTTAAATCAAATTAATGAAATTTTGAATATTTCCAATAGAGCCATTTAAGGCACGTTAACACAAAATATGAATTTGTATTCATATTCCTAGAGATATTTCTCATTCTTTGACAGTTTAAAGGCTGAATATTTGTGTCTTTGTTCATATTCAGTGAATAATAAAATAAATAAATAAAAAACATCCACAGAAACTTTAAGCACCTGTGATGGGAGGAACGACAGTGCTCGTTCAATCAGCAGTCGCATCAGCCTCTTGGAGTAGAAGATAAACTCATCACGACTGGTTTCTTTGTTCCTGAATAAACAAAAGCACATACTTATATACTAACTGTGGCCATAGTGTGATGACATTTAAACTTCATATTGGACATGTGGACATTGTATCCATCCTCTGTGGCGTTTTATGAAGCTCTTTTTAGCTCTCTTTATTACCTGATAATGGTGTGCATGCCCCTGACTTGTGGGTACTCTCCAGCACACTGAGGGTCTGGGGGAGGGGTTGGGCCTGGTGTGCAGAGGCCAGGGCTGCCCTGTGACCCCGGCAACAGACAGGTAAACAGAAAGAGAGAGGACCATGAATATAAGGTGCATTCCAGCAAAAATAATTATAGCAATCTAGGCACACGTCACCACTGCATCCAAATGTATCAGTACAGATGTGAGTAAAACATGTGCACAAGAAACAATAGCATCATTAGTACTTGAAGTACTTTTTGGGAAAAGAAATGTGAACCAGCAAGAGCCAACTGTAACAATGCTGAGTATTTCAGTGAGCAAAACAAAGACTACCTTACAAATGTGTGTTACAAATTCAACCAATTATTTAGGATGGCATCAGCAAATTCAAGTATTGTTCATTACAACAATTCAACTACAGAAGCTAGATTCAGTACAATCAAAGTAATACATTTGTTAGTTGGTTAAGAAAAACACATGTTGCATCTATTGAAAGAGTGGAACACGAGAATTACATTTTATCATTGCGTGTGCTGAATTTAATATATTGTACAATATTTTAAATATTCGACACCTGTAATTTGCTGACGGGTCCATTCAAAGTGCATTGAAAAACACATGCTTGCGTTTAATGATTGCATCAGTTCTCAGAGGACTGAAGGTTAAAAGGCTATGTTGAAAAGTTAAGATATAACTGTATAATTCACATATCCACACACGGCATGTCACTGAGATACTCATCAGCCAGAAGCAAACAAAAGAAAATCATATGAAATCAGCTCACATATCCCATCGAAGTTTCCTCTGTGGGAGAGAGTTTGGACGACACAGAAATACAAGTGACAGACACGGGACACAGACAGAGGAGGAAAACATGAGAGACTGCACATCAGGAAGAAGAAATCATGACAGCCAATGTCAAATGTCCCAGAAAATCAGAAGTCTGCTAAAACCATCATGTTTTAATCAGTTTTAGTGCTGAAGGTAAATCTGTCATATACAGCACTGTGCGAGGTTTTAGGCAGTTTGGGGCTATGAACGAGGAAGAACAGATATTAAGGTTATCTGGGTCACTGCTCACTACAACATAATTGATTGTGATTTGAGTGAATAGAGCTTGTGTGAGTGCGTGGGAGGTGGAGCGTGACTGCCACTCTCTCAGTGTGTGTAAAAAGTTGGTATTTGAGCTCACAGGCTTCGACACATCCTGTATCTAAAGACAGACACCGAACACTTCCTCTCTCTCTTTATCTCACACTGTGGCCAACATTCAATGGAAAAAACTTTTGTCGTAGCATATTGGAAAGTTTCTCTGCGGCTGAGATATGCAATAGTCAACAATAGCTTCCTCTGGTGAACTTTCTGTTGTACTAGGTTTGGCACAGAGAGGAAGGGGTCAGTCACTTACTCACTTAGTGTATTTTTAGACACAGGATGACTGTCACTTGTCATTCGTGAAGCAAAGCGGCTGCACCAATGCAGTGTATGCTGGCTGCAGATTAACTGTTTCATGAAATACACAAATGAATACATCTGTGTCTGTAAAGGGGCTAGTACTGCTAAGTAATGTAAAAAAAACAAACAAAAAAGATATGGAATTCAGATTTTAGGAATTTCAACTGAATTCACAGTGCAATAAAAAAAAAAAAAGCTTTTCTTTTTTTTTCTTTCAAAATGGCACAGCCCTATTACAGTATCAGACAAACAGACACTAAAACATTTGCACAGGGCTGTATATTATCTGCAGTTCAGATTATGAGTGCAACATTGTCGCCTGATGATGTTTTTATGAACAAGAAGCCAGACAAGGGCTTTTCAGACTTCCTTTTCTCCAAGGCTAGGTAGATCTGGCAGAGTAAGAGACCGGAGAACAGCGTAAACGGGGCAGATGAGGAGAGAACAGAGAGCATAAAGGCCACTCTACCTGACGCTGAGTTCGCGCTGTGGGCCGTGGGCGAGCAGTGGGGTAGGGGAGAGTGAGCACACAGTGAGACAGCATCCAAAAGCTACATTAAGTGTGTGTGAGAGGCTAAATTATGACAACTGTAATGACGGCAAAATAAACAGGAATTTGAGTGTTATATGGAAAAAAAAATTGCGAAGTGCTACATTTTTAAAATTAATTTGTAAATAAGGTCTGTAGAGTTTAGAAAGAATTAGATATTGATATTACTACAAATATATTTCACTTGTGTAACTTTATTATAGCATCTGTAAAAGGATCATAACAATCTACAGTGATTACACAGTATTGCTTATATACATGTGTTGATGTATTTGCCCACTAGAGGGCACATTAGAGTGCAAAATGTGGTAATCGCTCAAAATATGGGCAATAATAGCTAGAAAATAAATGTTTGACCCATTTATGAATTCTAAAACAGTGCATAGTACAAAGAGCTATTTATAACATGGCTGTAATCTGTGATGATTGCTGTGTTTTTCTGTGTGGCTCGTACCTCTTCAAGCTGACTGTGAACATGCTGCACTATTAAATCAATAGCCACCATATTGCCACCACCTGTTAAAACAAAAAAAAAAACCCCATTAAATTATCAGTTTTACTTACAGTTTAAATGGTCATATCATGTGCACTAATAAATGTGATTTTAGCTAATGAAAGTATATTAAAGTATATAGTATAAGTAATTAAACAATTCTTACATTTGCTTTTACAAAGGTATTAGCATGTAATATTTCATGTCCACTTTGTTTTTCCACATTTGTAAACTCTTAAAGCATTCTCTTAATAATTCATGCACACACCCAAAAATTTTAGGTTCTTTGTTATCAAGTTTTCATATTTAACAATAATCCAGAAATTAAGTTCTTGAGCATGCTGGAATAACTGCCCATTAAATTGGTATCACATATTACAGTAATAGTGTTTTACTAAATTAAACTGTAATCTGCATAAGGAAAAGTTGCAAGTTGCAAGTCTACTATTGCAACTGTATTGCAACCGTGTAGTGTTAATAAATGTTTTTTGTGACTTTTTTTCTGAATACGCACCTCGTGGGACCACAATGTCAGCTAGCCTCATGGTGGGTTCAATGTACTGTTCAAAGGCAGGCTTCACAAACTTGTTGTACTGTTTAATAACTCCTTCAATGTCTCTGCCCCTTTCTGTGATGTCCCTTCTGAGACGCCGTACCAGCCGTATATCTGAGTCGGTGTCCACAAAAATCTTCATGTCCAAAAGCTGAAAAAAAACTTTTTTTAATAGATGTAATAATGCATTATTTTGTGCAGGGATGTTTGCTTTATAGCAAATGGATGAATTCAGTACATTTCTTTCACAATAATAATGTCAATGATTAAAGGTTTGTTTAGGTCAGCTGAAAATGCCCGAGGACATTAACCTTACCTGCAAGAGCTCTTTATCTGTAAAGGCCATGATTCCCTCGAAGATGATAACACTGGCTCCATATACTGTTTTCTGTTGTCAACAGGAATTACACAGTGTTAGTTGTTATAGGTGTCATTTTAAGGACTTTGACTATTCAAAGAAGATTTTGTTTAGGAAATGGTCATGTTTTAAAAAGAGTCATTGTATCTGCAAGTGTCCTATAATGTAATGACACTGAAGAGTCTCTTAAAAACAATTTAAGAGCATTTGAGAATAAATTGCATCTCAATAATATTACAATAATGCATTATGTTAGGAGGGGCAGCCATCCTTACCCAGTCCTTTTGTCTCCCGTGTGTAGTAAAGTCATACACAGGGATCTTTACACTCTTTCCCTTCTTGAGTTTGCGCAGTGTGTGTGTAAGCAGAGTGAAGTCAAAGGCATCCGGATGGTCAAAGTTGTAATCATTACTGGCTGCAAGAACCTGCTCTTCCTTTGACAAGACCTACAAAATGAACAATTCAGTCACAAACTGATCAAATTGTACATTATTGGAAATAGATCTAAAGAGTAGCCCTCTAGTCAATTAGTTGGTTGATGGCATTTTCAAACAGATTTTGTATTATAAGGATTAATATGATCAGCTGAAAGGAGAATGTGTCAGTTATCTGGAGTGACTTATGAAGATGTTGTTAGCACTTTTGTTTATATCGTTGTTTTAGAGTACAATAGTTTTTTCAGCACCACTATTGGATGGGCAGCACATGTCTTAAGTAGACCAAGATTTTTTTAGCAGACTTCAGTCCTAGCCTACATCCTTCTGTTGCACTAGCTTGCATAATATGGGAGAAAAGTTGTTATCAGTAAGGCTATAAAGTCTATTAGAGGCTATAAAGGCTATAAACGTATTCTACAAAGAGGAACTGAAGTGAGGAAGACTAAAATTAGGAAACATCTTTTGCCCTTGTGATGCCTGTAGCAGGTCATGTGTGTGTGTGGGTATGTGCCTTTAGATGGGCCAACCATGAAAATCCCACACTAGTATTTCTCAGTTTAAGAAGGGCAACACCCCTTCTCAAGTTATCAGAAAAAAATATTAATATAGTTACAGGTGTAGATGTGAAAATAAAAAATAAGTTTCTGGTGTATGTTCAGGTGAAAGAAAAAGTGGGAGACAAAAATAGTCCCATAGACGTGTGTAGTTAAGGCTGGAAATGCCAGCTTGTGCAATGTGGCGTGTGAAGTGCCACTTGCTAAAGGTGGTAGTACGATTGGTCAGTGTTAGACCCCGCCCTCTGTCTGAGCTACTGCTGCTGTTACATGGGGACAAGATTGCATAACACTAAGAGGGACATCAGTGTGACACTCTATACTTCAAATTATTGAAATGAAGCAGTAGACTGAGACTTAAATTATCTACTTCCTACAGATTTTTGCTTCGGAAGTGTCACACAGTTAAACATGTTAACTCATATAAATAAAATGGTTTATGACTCTTAACACTGGAAAAATATAATGCATACAATACAAAACAGGTAATCAGAATCAAATCAGTGTGTGTGAATAAAATATTAATATATAGAAATATGTCAAATATTTTTCTTTACTTGGTATAGCATTTAGGAGAGGTGTAAGGTTAATCACTGTAGAAGAGGTGCACAAACCTTGTAAAATGAATCCATTGAAAGTAATACAACCCATGGAACATCAAGTGCTTCAATGATTTTCCGTGCAACTGTGGTTTTTCCCGAAGCGCTCCCACCACACAAACCTGAGACAAACAGTGAAATAAACACATTTAACACATTAAGACAACAGAATGTCCTAGATTTAATGGGTACAGCTCTTAACAAAAGGTACATGAGGACAACAAAGTTAAGTGCAGCTAAAATGCCCAAGGCAGCTACTAGTATATGCAAGTGAAAAAACAGGTAGAAACAATGCCCTGCTCTGCAAACAGACATGCCAAACTAAAGGAATTTTTCTGTACCAATCTGACAGCGAAAACAAAACAAAACAAAAATACACTTGTGTAGTGTGCTTTGCATAGACAACATCAACATCAAACTACAAGATCAGTTTGCATCAATTCTATTTTTTCAATCTAATTTAAATTTCAATCAAACCAATTATGTGTTATTGAGCTCTATTCTGTTTAATTCTAGTGAGTGTATCTAGTGTTACTGTAAAAGGACAACTGACAATATTTTTGGACAAAGACATATTAATAAAGGAATCATTCACAAAGTAATTGAGCATTTGAACCCACCAATGACAAAGGCCTCTTTTGACTGTGTACCATGTTCGTTGTACCAGGGCGGGCGTCCAGCTGTGTAGATGGTTCTTTTGGAGGTCCTCAGCAGGGGGGGCTCTGACTTACACTGAGATGTGGTCCTCTTCCTTGGGGAAAGACCGGTGGTCATGGAGGGGAGCAGTCTGTCCAGTGACCCCTCACCACTGCCACTGGAAAGAGATAAAAACAGATAACCTTTTGTTTTATGGCCTTCCATAAATCAAAACCATGACAACAATTTACTAGGAATTTGTTGTGTTATTTGGTAAAGCATTGCTAGGTTTCCATAGCACCAGCTCACAAATTTTCATTTGGCATTGTGGTTAGGTATCTTTCCTGATGCTCCTCTGATCACATGATGGGACAACCTATGTCGCATCATGTGATGTGACATAGGTTGGATTCCCTCTCAATTGCAACTTGTCCTTGTCAAAACATGTGGACCAATGTTAGCCATGTTAAATACAAGTGTAGCTGCATCACTGCAGTCACTGTGGCTATTGTGGTGATAGGGATCTGTTTTTACTAACAAAGATCAAGGCTCACAAACAAACTAACCTTTGGGTGTGTTACAGATCACAATGACAAACATTTAGTTGAGTATTGTGTCAAAGTAGATATATAACATTGCCACTTTGTTCAGTCTTGTTCAATAATTGGCCAAGTGTCAAAGTACAGTAACGTTGCGGGGTGTTAGGAGTTTCATGCTTGTTATTAGGTTGTCCGTGTTTATAAGTCTATAAAACTGTACTAATTGGAGTTGAGTGTGACACTGAATAACTTTAATAACACAATTTAAATCATAAAATCACAAGGAACATGAGGCAATTTTATTGTTCAGGAGTACACATTGGTCTGTGACAACGCAACGTAAAAGGTTATGAAAGAATGTTCAGAAAACATTAGACTGCTTGAGGCTAAAATTCAGAAAAAACAAACAGAAATATGTCACTACTAATAAGCGTGTGGATTTTGTGCAGTGTGCGTCTAAAAATGTCAAGAAAATAATTGAAACCTTCCCTATAAATGTTCCATCAAATATGCAAATACAACATAAGCAAGCAAACATACCCATATGGTCTCTACTTTACATATTACTTTCAACTCCAGAAAGTAGAAACATTTCAAGATCACAAGCCACTACTTAAAACCTTATAAAAGGAGAATGTTTTGACTTTGGCTGTAATATACGTCCAGTTTTTTGGAAGACTTACTGCCGTATGCGACTCATCCACACTTCACTCAAAGATGACTGTAAAAATCCAGATGCCATTTCGCTTGAACCAACAGAAAAGACTACTTCCCTGTCTATTTGTCTCTTGCCCAGCACATTTTTATGTATGGAGCCATAAACCTGCCCAGGTTGTGTCACAGGGTCAAAAGTGGAGCAAACAGAGCACATGCATTTTATCTTATCAGAGAACCACCTGAGCCTGGTTAGAGACTAACAACATGTATGAGGTAGAGCTGGCTCCAGCTGACTTATCAGTTCTACCCAAACCAGAGAGCCTATAAGAGATTAGCTAAACTTGACTGTGCTGAATTATGCCATTGTCAGAGGCAGAAGCACAACTAAACAGAAGAGAAGGTTGTGGAACTACAAGTGTGAGGAGTAAAGCTGTAGGTCTACATAACACAACAGGTTTTTGTGTTTGTTTTGGATTTGGAACTGGCCATACCATCACATTGTCATCAAGGAACATGATTAATACCACTGCCCAAAGCAATCTCAACACACAAGAATATCCAACCCTGTTTCTAGCAACTACAGGGGAGATTGAGCCAATGTCAATGTCAAGGGACTGTACTACTGATCACTGTTTACGTTTTTGTTCTTTTGCATGAACAACCACAAAACCAGATGGTTAAGGAACATGTGTGTAACATGCACGCTGGGCTTTGAATTTAAATGGTAAAGGCCATAATATTCAATATCAGCCCACATTGCAAAGGATAAATAATAATAATGAGAACCTAATAATATGTCAGTCAGAAGAGTAAGCATCAAAGAACACTATAAAAACAGCAATGGTAATGGGTCAAAACATGAAAAGCGACAGCAATTATAAAAGGATGACAGTTTTGAACAAGGTAAAGAGCAAGGTTACCAGAGTCCTAACTTTAGCTCACTAAAGGCGTGCTCTCCCAGGTCACTACATAAATAACATTTGCAAATAAAAACAGCAGAGGTACTTCCAATAATCCAGTATTTCTGAGCAATTTGGCAGACTTTTGATTGATTACAAATGACCCCGCTGACTGATTGGTCTGGCCCTGACAATAGCATCTATGTAGTTGCTAATATTTGACATCACGGGCTTAGACAGTAGACATGGAGGGAGAAAACCCTTATGCTAATTATTGTTGCCTGCTGTAAATTACAAGTCCCATAAATTAATTTCTATAGTTTGAAAAAGGCAGAAGCACTTAAGGACACAGCACAATATCATTTACTTGACAGATAAACAGAACAGAAGTTAAAATGTCAGAAAAACTGTTAGCAAACCATGACAATGCAAATACCACAATGACTGGCGTACTCTGTTGAGTAACAAAACCATAGAGACAGACAGTAGTTCCCATGAGACATAATCCCATTCATATGTGCAGACAATCAGTTCCTTTTGTTTAAAATTATGTATACAACCAAAACAAAAACAGTACAAGCAGGACAAATAAATTAAAGAAAAAATATATATATATTAAAAAATCAAATCACTTACCTGCCATCAGATGTTAGTGTCCAACAGCCTGATATTCTAGCACCGGAGTACGCAGGTAGAGAGTTCATGACTGAAGACAAAAATGTGTACGCAAATTGTATTTTTGTCTAATATTCCCAACAATAAGAAAATGATAATATGGGCTTTAGTACTTAGCAGCAATGCCCTTTGGAGCAACACATCCACAGTTATGTAGGCACACTATGGGGAGTATAAAGAGGGGAGAGGATGGGGGAGAAACGAAACTTTGAACATGAGTTTTGTTTTCTGTTCCATTGAATAGCAGGTCAGTGTAGAGAAAGACAGAGCCAGAAGGAGAAGGCAGCTCTGCAACTTGTACACTCACTCTCTGAGTAAGGGCACGGCTTCTCCCTCCTCTGTTCGTTCACTCCTCCCCTTCAGTCGTCCAGCCAACAAATGTAAGAGGATCACCTAGCCTGCAGATTATGTTCATTAGCTGGTATTAATAGCAGCAGGTTAAAGCAGACTTTCCCACTGCGAGCCCATACACATTCATAAACACGCGCACATATGCCAGGGAGGGGGTCATCTGTTTTTGACGACTGAGTGTTGCGACATGTCACTAGAGGTAACAGAGAGGAGAGAAACAGTAAAAAACAAGGAAGCTGTGTCAAAAAAAAAAAACGCAACAAAAAAGCGAATTGTGCTGTTACAGTCTGTTCTGTTTCCATAAGATATTAGAAACTGATAGTTGTTACAAAAAAAACTATTACAGGGGTCTGAACGTTTGTATCAGTATAATGCCTATAGCTTCTACTACTGGATTACTACATATCACTACTACAACTACACTACTACTACTTCAGACATTCAAAGTGATGGAGTAATGGATGGCGCAAAGATTACATTGTCTTATTTATGTCCCCTAGTGGCTGGATTATGCAATTTGAGTATTGTTTTCCCTTGAAGACATGAAGACACTAGGATTTATGGGATCTTAGAAACAGCAAATGGGAGTGCATTTGCTTATTGCCCTGTAGGGAGCCAGTGTTCCTCTTTGCAACCAGCTTTTGACATCAGAGCCACAAAAAACACACCCACAAACACGGCAAGAAACCACGTCCCAAAACTAAACTCAACTTGTGCTGGAGCAAAGGAAGTAAACAGCATGATGCAACCTAACACTAGTGCTTCATCAGCTGACTACCAGAGAAGTGCCCTGGGCTAATCACACAATACTGCTGAGACATCAAGTTAGGTTAAACACACAGGCATACACACACACACACACACGCACACATACATAGGGACACGCCTCCTGGGTCACCACCGCTACAGACAAACAAATCATTATTCCACAAGCTCAGAAGACAGGCTAATTGTTTTCTATTGGAGCAAAACAAACAGAAGAGGAAAAGGGCGTCTAACTAAACTACACCATCTGCATTAAAAGCATTTCAATGCGTTTCCAGTATGAGTGGTTTATGTTATGTAACCTTTTAAACTACAGGGGGAGACCTTTATTAGTTGCCATGTTGTGCAGTAGACAGCAGCTGCATAGCAAGAAAGTTCTAGCACAGAAACAAGAAGCCTGCACTTGTAGTTATGTCAAATATTCAGTTCAACAGGACTGAGACTGAGAAACACAACCGATGTCACAGTTAAGTATGCATACAAAACAAACAAACAAACAAACAAAGAAGAAAACTAAACGATGATTTACTATTTTAGGTATATAGGTTATTTTAGGTACATTGCTCTCTATGGTATGAAATGACAGCTTTCAGTGATAAATAGACACTTCCCTCAAGGAGACCCAAATTCCAATGTTTGTAATCTATTTTTGAAACTAGGGCAACAATATCAAATATGCTTGAACCAAAAAAAAAATAAATATATATATATATATTTTTAGTTGTAGGAGGTGATGGTAATAGAAGTGAGAGTATGTTTAAATTAAATAAGCACAACGTATAGTATAGTAATTCTCTCTTTCATAGTCTCTCTAGTCATGCTGTATTCAGCTGTGACTACAGCAATACAGTGACACCCTCTTGTGGCTTACTGAGGGAAAGATTAGCCACTATGCGTGCTATCAGTATGAAAGGCGTATTAGAAACACTGGTATAACTTTGTACATATGGGCTGTTTCAGTGAAAACCCCCTTTTGTGGTTATTTTGGCATTCCAATGCCAAAAGTCATTGTTTCTGAGTCATACGTGAGGTAGCGTGGCACTGAGGCCGTGCCATGCTGCTGTCTGCCTAGCTTATGGTCTGGCTTTGACTTCCTCTGTCATCGTACCGTAAAATACAAACATAAAAGAACAGCTGAATAAAGTTAACAAAGCACCACATCAACACTGAACTCACAGACAACAAAATATTCTTGTGTAAATCATTTTGGATGTACTGCCTAATGTCTCGTGCTAATTATGTTGTTATAACTTTTGTTGTCATGTTACCATAACCCAGTATCAGACCTTCATCACGATAAAAACCCTTGTTGTAATAAATAGTCGCCTTATCAAGCTGTGTCTGCGCTCTTATTTCTGTCACACGGAGGATTCAGTGTCAATAGAAGAAAGCACACTTTGTGACAAGTCGTGCTTCCGTAAAGATGCTCGAGCCCTCGACCATTTTTATTCTGTTTAAAACTCATCTTTAGATGAAAACGGCAGAAGAGACAACCGTACAATACGAACACATCTTACCTGCTGGAGACACCAGCATTTTTATCTTCAGTCTCCATATCTGAGCTTCTTTCTTCTATGCTAACAGCAGACATAACTAGTCTATTGACAATCAGGTGTGCAGTTACACTTAGCAGCAGCTGCACCGAGGCATTCTGGGCTTTGTAGGCGTTCCTATTGAGCCGAGATAGGAGTGCAGACCACGGCTACGCCCCCAAGTGACACCAATCCCCAGAATGCACGAGTGCTTTTACTTTGTAGTTACTTACCGTAAGCAGGGACTCCGTCAGAGTTGGCAAAATGTGCTCATCACAATACCACGTGTTACATAATATAGACCTATAGAGCCAGTGGTTACGCAACATTATAGGCCTACACCTTTTCCAAATCAAGTTTAAAATGGTGAAATGGCTACTGCTCATAAGCAGATTCAGGTTGTAGACTTATATTACAAGTTCAAGAGCCCAGTCAGTATAGAAATGACCAAGATTCAAATTTCTGCATCCTTTATATAAAATACCATGCAAGCTGATCCATAGGGAAAGTAGGTCTTGCCCCCTTTCCTTCTGTTTTAAAGTACAATATTTTAACATGGTAGAATCAGTTGTCCTTTTGGAATTTGCTAAATACAAAAACATCCAAATATTAACTCAATATTCAATCTCCTCTGAGTGAATAGCCCAGTTTGTTAATACAGATTTTGTTAAATGTATCTATTGTGTTAGGCTATCTAAAAATGAGACACAAAAATTAGTCAAGAAACTTTTATTAATTAGTCAAGGGATACTAATGCACAGGTAATACAACAAGTTTGGGGAAAAAAAATTGTCAGGGGTTATACCCTAATTGTTAGGTATTATACAACATAATTTAAGATATGGACTTGTCACTCTCATTTCACTTGTTATACTACAATCATTTAGAAGCTACAACAGAAGTTCTTCGTTCATCACAATAGCCCTGACAACAGATCTGTGTAAGCATTTAAAATAGGCAGAATACAAAAGAACCCACCGTCTGCTGTCCAAATAAGGTTTTGTGAGAGAATATTCTGACAATGGGAAGACACTAGAGCCTGCCATTTGCCCAGGTACAAAAAGTCACACCACACAAAGTCTGGGTAATTAGAAAGCTCCAACAACACTCCTATTTCAAGCCTAGCTCATGGTTTAATAAGTGCACTAAATACACAAACACATACATATTTCTTGTCCCATATTGAGAAGATTATAATGTCTCTTTCATTGTGTTTGTCACTACAAAGCTTAATTTATGTGCATTGTTAAAATGAATAAAACATCAGTGTATGCCAACAGAAAAGCTAGAATTTTTGTGATCTACAAATCCCACATGTTTGAAAAGTGTATGTGTAGGAAAAAAAATCAAAGCAAAGGAGTGAATAGGAAATATCTTTTTCAGAACACACGTTGATATAAAAACAAGCAAGCCAACAAAACCAGCTAATGGTATATTGCTGTACTCTCTAAGCAGTTTGCCTACACTCTGGGATAAATATGTGTCTTATCCACATACTAGGAAGACAGATAGTAAAGGGTGAGATAAAATATAAAATACCCACTGGTAAAAAGCAGTGCTTAAACTAGCATATATTGCAACAACAAAGCTAGCTGGGTAAACACAGTCAATGTAGCATTATTAATAAGACAAGTAACAAGCAGCAGATGAACTGATTCTGTGCCACAACGTGTTACCATTTCTGACATCCAGTCGTTACAAAGGTGCTAACAGGTCAATACACACACACATACACAAGGTCTGGATTTGAAAAGGTCTTCTTGGGACCCATCAGTGCTTTTCTAAACTCTCCTCTGCTGGCTGAACCTGGATAGATGAAGAGGCACCATCTCACAACCAGAGATGGGCGCACATGCATAATCAGCCTCACCTGTACAAACTTAGCTTTGCTTTAATATATAAAAAGGTGACGCAATCTTGTATCTCTTCTTGACATCAGAACCCTTTTAAATGATGACATTGAAAATGATTGGTGCAAAATTTATGACTTGCCAGGATGGAGAAAATTGGCAAAGTGGATTATTGGACTTGACTTGCTCTTAAGATAAAGTGACAAGTAAAGTACCCTTTTTAAGTCACTGGTATTCTCCCATCAAAGCTATCAAGTGTCTACAAATATACAAATTGTACTGTTGGACTGAAGTGCAGATATAACAAATATTGAGTTTTCATCAATAATGCTTCTGATTCAAGTATCTGTTTCAATTTGAATAAAGTGAACATTTGATTGACACATTTTACCAACAAAGGTAAACCAAGTGGCAAAACTGCTAAAATTACACCTGTTATGGCTTACTTTTAGTTATATTTTTGGTAATTTTAGACTATAGTCTTTAAATAAGTGTGAGTTCCTCATGCTCATACACTAACCACTATTGACAACTATAGATTTTTTGTGGTTAAATTTTACAAAAAGTTCCAACTCCAGTGCCGGACAGCCTATAGGGTAGGTTGAATACTCCTGGAGTGCAAATGTACAAGAGGGCAATAAGGGAAGGGGTTAAAGTGCAAGGTCGTAGCTTCCAGGAATAATTCTATTTACCATATTACATTTCCATCTTCATTTGCAGATTTTATGATTAATAAACTTTATCAATATTTTATAAAATATATTTTTTTCTCTTTGATTCAAGCTCAAGCAGTAGCCAGGTATTGTGGCCTTAATAAATACCATATCATTATCACCTCATCTGATTGTGCTCCAATGGTGCAACATGCTTCATACAAAACATTTGGTTCTGTCCCAACATTTCTCTTTTCCAGACCCCCTCAGACAGAACAAAGGCTTATTTATATTAAATATCACCATAGCGTAATATACTATCCAAACATATACATTTATCGACTCTTATATACTGATAAGTAATTTCAGTGTAATAGATCTGTGTACATATTTTTGACAATTGTTGTTGTCAAATAGATTGCTACTAAAATTACTTTGCTACAGGAAAGAATCATGGGTGGAATATGGTTTGACTAACATTTTAGCTTATAGATAAATGCATAAATGAAAGAATTGAGACTAAACAGAGAAAGAGTAAGCAACATTACACACACAAAATACAGTATTTGATTGCTCACTATATGTAAGAATATGTCAGGCATGAAAAAAATCCATGTCAGTAAGTGAGTGAATTAAAATATAAATTTAGTCATTATACTACACAGCACAGTTCAGAAATGCTAGTAGGCAAAATACCTTCCTGGACTAAATGAAAAACTTAAAAAATTACAATTTCACTAAGTGTCGTGATTGAGAAAAGTAATGAATTTTAAAATTACACTCACTGTTGTGACTGGGGAAAAAAGAAAGACATATGACCTAAATAGAAGACAAATGCGGAATGAAGGAAAAATATAGAACTGATACTAATCCAAGTCTTGAACTCATTTCGTCAACTGTCTATATTTGACAAGTACAGACAGTTGTTCATAGTTGTCTTGGCTTTCTCCACATAGTCAAGTTATGGAGATAAAGAAGTGTCCTTTAGTTTCCTGACATAAGATTATTAAAAAGCATTTCCGGTGGCACCTGCATCAGGCAAAGGGAAGGTTACTCTGACAAAGATAATTTCACGGGTTTGATTCGTCTGTTGGCTGAGTTGTCGGGTGGTTTGTCTTGACCTGAAGTTAGTGAAATGTTCGTGGGCTCTGAGACTTCTGCTGGAGACGGTGGTGCTGTGGAGGAGGGGCTCTCGTCAGAGGAAGAGCTTTGTGTAGTGGTTGAAGCCTCAGTGTTTGTTAAGGGAGATGATGCCACAAGAGGGCGCTCTTTGGGCTTCCTGCCTCGTTTCTTCCCAGCGGTGGCTCCATTTCTTACCTCGGATTTGGGCAAATGGTTTTCCACTGGAGGCTTGCTCTTACTGCTGCTGCTGCTGCTGCTGCTGCTGCTGGAAACGGCTTGAGTATCCGAAGCTCGGAACCAGTTCTAAGGCAGTCAAACAAAACACAAATGAAACCATTGTAAATAATCCGTTTTCAGTCCATTTCAATCAGTTTTCAATCCATTTTTAACACTGAAGACCAGGAAATACAACCCAACAGTTTTATTTAGTTTCAAAAAGTTATTTGATCAGTTTGTGCTTAATATGCACGTTTATTATTAACCATAACCCACCTGTGAGTGTGTCTTGTTGATGTGATACTTGACGCCACTCTCTGAACTGAACTCCTTCTGGCAGATAAGACATGTGTACTTCCCTAGCTCTCCTCCACCCTGCAACACAAATTCTTCAATAGACAAACTCCCACAGAGCCGTTACAACTGTTTAAGTGGACAACATTGCATTTACTTTTGGTTTCTGTAACTACAACTTCATGTGTTTAAAGAGGAAATGCGTACCTGGCTGCAGTTGGCGAGATGGGCCTTTAGTCCTGATACACTTGAATAGACGGCTTCACAGTTCTGTGAAAAGGAAGTAACATGGGTTGGTTTCATAATGTTTTGATGATGCTAAACGAAGTACTACTGACATCAACAAGTGGGATTTCAAAAGCATTTGGTGACTCATATCTGCCAACTGTCAGATTCCTCACTGTGCACAAATGTTTTTTTGTTTGTGCCAATTAACATCACTATGTAAATAACAGACCAAGACAGAAGCCATACTTGAGAACTAGCATTTCCTATGTAATTTTTTTGTTTTGTTTTGTTGTTTTTTGTTGTTTGTTTTTTTAGATTAGTTTTCAAGAAAAACAGCAGTAAAGAATTGAATGACAAAAAGCAATAAGCAGTTTAATTAAATTTAAAGTAACAATTAGCATAATAAGATTTCAAATAAAAATCTTACTTACTTCATTTATGCAACAGATAAAGCCCTTCTCCTTAACTTGGTTCTTCCATGACTCTAACAGCTCAGGGCTGAAGTGAGGAAGGCCAGGTCGGGTGTAGTTCAACTGGTTTGGAAAAAACAGCAATCATATTAAACACACCAGTATTCCCATGACTAGTATTGCACCTATAGTTTAAACATACTCCTCACCCTTTTAGTATCTGGTACCAGATCATCTTTAATGCGCCTTTTTGTGCCCCAGTCTTTTGCTAGTTCATCTTCAGCAATCTCCTGCAGGTGGAAGACAGCAAC